ATCTCTATCGTAGTCAAATCATCATGAAGCTCAATCTCTGGTGCATCTAACACTCGCTGCTGCTCCTTATTGCGTAAATACTTCTTAAGCATAGAAACATGAAAAGCATCGTGTATACTCGACATCGATGCTGGAAGGTCTAGTCGATACGAAATGGCTCCAATACGCTCAATAATCCTGAATGGACCAATATACCTCGGGGCTAGCTTTCCCCGTCTCCCAAATCGCTAAACTTCCTTCATAGGCGATACTTTTAATAATACTTAGTCCCCAACCTGGAACTCTAATGGTCGTCGCCTCTGGTCTGCATAACTCTTCTGGCGACTCTGCGCTGCAAGGATGCACTCTCGAATCACTGCTACCTTCTCTGTAGTCTGTCTCTCAAGCTTTGGTCTAAGTAATAGGTTGTACTTCGGTTCTGCCCAACAAATAGGCGATCTGCAAGGCCTCCCGTACAATGCTTCATACGGTGCCATCCTAATAGTCGCTTGATAACTATTATTATAAGCAAATTCAATTAATGGGATGCGGTCCTCCCAACTACCCTGAAAGTCTATGACACATGCCCGCAACATGTCCTCCAATACCTGGTTCACTCTTTCCGTTTGCCCATTTGTCTGCGGGTGGAAAACACTAGAGTATGACAATGTACTACCAAAGGAATTCTGGAAACTCTTCTAGAAATACAAAGTAAAAACTGAGCCTCGATCTGATACTATCGTCTCTGGGACTCCGTGCAATCTCACGATCTCCTGGATGAATTTTCTTGTGTAAGTCTCCACGATATAGGTTGTATTTACTAGCATAAAATGTGCTGACTTCGTCCACCGATCAACTATCACCCAAACTAAATCGTTCCCCTTTTTTGATCTAGGCTATCCTACAATGAAGTTCATGAAAATATCTGCCCATTTCCACTCCGGAATAGATAAAGGCTATAGGGTTCCTGCTGGTCTCTAGTGTTCTTCCTTCACTTGTTGGTAGGTACAGCACTTAGCCACATACTCGGCAATCTCCCTACGCATGTTGCTCCACCAAAAGTATCTTTTCAGGTCCTCGTACATTTTTGTTGTACCTGGATGCACTGTGTACCTGGGACGATGCACCTCATCAAATAAGTCTTTCTTCAACTGTGGACTACTTGGCATCACTAATCGGTCCTTCATTCGAAGAACTCCATCTGTTACAACGGTCCAATCAGCCTTTGGCACTTTAGAAATCTCCTCCTTTCGGGTTTGAATCCAAGAGTCTTTTAGCTGTCCCCTGACCACTCTATCACTCCAAGATGGTTGTACTAACAAATCTGAAATGACCATGAATTTTCAATACTAGTTTAAATAATATTCTGGTATTTTAAAATATTAAATTATTATTTTTAAAAGAGTGTTTATATTTTCTCGATTTTCTAGAATTTTCTATGATTTAAAAACCCAATTTTATATTTATTTTGCTAATTATAAATTAAATTGTTGCGGTGAAACCCTTTTAAATTAATATTGGTTTTATTATTGTTATTGTTATTATAAGTATTGTTATTAATTATATTAATTATTCCCTAAACCCTAATCCTATATATATAATCTCTCTCTCTCTCTCTCTCTCTCTCTCTCTCTTTCTCTCTCTCTCTCTCTCTCTCTCTCTTCTGTCACCGCCCACAGCCCCTTCGTCACCACCTTAGCACGCACCTCTTCCTCCTCCCCTCTCGCCTTCCTCCGCTCTCTCCTCGCCCATCAGCCGCTCACACCACCGCCACCGACCAGCACCTCCTATTTCCAACTTCCCTCTGTCCACCTCCTCATTCTCACCGCCCGACTCACCTTCGCGCAGCTCTTTCCCTCACCAAACTTCCACCGCCACCAGCCAGCTCTCACCCACAACCCTTACCTCACCATTGCCCGCCACCGCACCGCTCTTCCCGGCCAGCGACGTCATCGCCGTCCCCTACAGTCGTGCCGTCTAGATCCGCTGCTCCACCTATTTCAGACCTGTCATACCGCATCCGCAGCATCGCCGCCGTCTCGTCATCAGGCCCCTTGGTCTCGCTGGCAAGATCCCGCTCCTCTTGACTCGTCATTTCTTATATCTTTCATTAAATTAAATGCATAGATTAGACTGTGATTAGTTATCATTTGCGTGGATTGGTTGATGATCGATGAGAATAACTGATATTGTAAGGATAAGAATTATTTTCAGAGAAAAAAATTATTTGAATTAATAGCTTATTATATTTAAAGATTATTTTTAGAATTATTATAATGAGAAAAGAATTTAATTTGGAAGAGAGAATATTAAAAAGAATATTTAAAGAATATTTTTAGAATTATTTAAAAGGAGTTATTTTTTTTGGAAGAGAGAATATTAAAAAGAATATTTAAAGAATATTTTTAGAATTATTTAAAAGGAGTTATTTTGAAAAAGGGTTTATGTTGAATTAGTATATGAGAAAATAATTTAAAGGAAATTATTTTGGAAAAATGTTATTTTCTGAATTACATAGGCGCAGTTCATAATTTATGACTCTTAATTTTGATTATTTGTGATATGCCATGACATTAGTGCTCATGATCAGTTGCATTTATTCATTGTTATGATTGAGAACCGTTAGTAGTTCATGACTTTAGTGGCCTTGTACAAGACCTAGAGATATGTGTATGTTGACTTAAAAAACAAGAAGAGTTGGGGTGGGGAAAGTCTTAATTCATGTGATCGGATATGGCTGTTGATGTATCTTCTAGGCTCGTACCACTGAATTCGTGTAGTCACTGGGTTTGGTTTTGTTGGGCCAAAGTGAATTCGTGTAGTCACTTTGGTTAGTGAATTTGTGTAGTCACCCGAGTTTTGCTTGAGTTCGGACCAGGCCAAAATCGGATTGCGTGTAGTCCTCTGACCGATTCGTGTAGCGGTATTGGATACGCGTAGAAGATTTGTGAACAATCAGTTATCCGATAATATGAACGTTGACTCTATGTGAGCTATGGACCAGTAACCTGTTATAGGATGGTTAGTTACATGACCTCGTTACTTAGATGATTATGGATTCTTGTGAGATGTGGACTAGTTATATTTCTTTTCATACATAGATTGGGATTAATATTTAATTATTTACAATTTAAGACATATGGTATATACATGAGATTTTCCTTATTTGGATTACTTCGCTCGACGTACTACATCTCGTGTTGTAGATTTTTAAGTATTAATTCTATCTAATTGTATGACCTTGTTACTCGGATGTTTATGGATTCTTCTGATTGTTATACTCTAGTAGTGGATTGCATCTAGCTTGTTAGTATTCTAGCTGCATGTTTCTAATCATTGTTATTGTTATTGCATTGGTCGTTCGACCGTTTCTGTTCTTTCTTTTAGGATCTTGCCGTGTGCTACGCACGCTGACGTACTCCTGTTCTCTCGGGTTGTACGCCAGATTTGGAGGATGGACAGGTTCAGTATGAGCCAGAGTATTCTCAGCAGGAGTGCTTTGCAGACATAGCAGAAGAAGAAGCCGAAGCTTAGTTATTTACTTTAATTGTTCTATGGTCATTGTTTACCTTTGTAGCATCTTCCATTTCCACTTGATCGATGTATTTTTATGTTCCTCTAGTATTTCAGTTGGATTGTTTTGTATCAGGGCATGTTTGGCCCGAATATTATGTCTGGGATGATATTTCAGCTGTGTAACAACAAAAAATTAAGATACATATTTAAATATTTTTTTTCTAGTATTTAAAATATTAAAATTTTAACTTATTAATATTTTTCCAAATTTCTAGAATTTTTATGAGTTTTCAAAATAAATAAATATATTCCCATAATCTTCATTTCCCTAAATTTTCTCTCATTTGAATTCCTACCATAATCTCCCTAATCAATTCCCTAATCAATTTTCCAATTCCCTAAATTTTCTCTCATTTGAATTCCTACCATAATCTCCCTAATCAATTCCCTAATCAATTTTCCAATCACTCATAATCCCGTTTATCTCATTCCTTACCATAATCTCCCTAATCAATTCCCTAATCAATTTTCCAATCACTCATAATCCCGTTTATCTCATTCCTTACTAACCACGTGATTCTCTCTCTTTCATTCTTATTTTAATGTGTACTCTCTCTCCCTCAATCATTCACTCAGGCAAAGAAATCCAGCTGGACCAACTCACATTTCCTTTCGATCTCTCTCTCTTATTATTTCATCATCTTCCTCTCTCTCTCTCTCTCTCTCTCCAATTATTCAGAGCCAACCCATTCTCTCCCTCTTCTCCTTCGATCTCTCTCTCTCCAATTTTGTCTTGCTCTTTGTTGAATTCGTTCTCATTATTATTATGCAAGCATATTTTGACTTATTTTTGTTATCTTCAATTCATATGACTGTTTTATTGCAAGCATTTTTATCTTCTAACTCTTTTAGTGATCGCCATATTTATTATTATTATTATTATTTTCATAATCACCAATTGTTTACTACTTTCTTTGTTTGAAATTGTCGATTTCTTCCATTGCAAATCCTCCCTTGTTCTCAACAGATCTTCTAGTTGATTACTGACATGTACGTACTCATCTTCAACTAAAATAGGGCCGCAATTATTTTTCCCTTCTCTCTGGCTTTCTTTCTCTTATCTACGTGAAATTTTCTATATATAGAATTATTAAAGATATTACTTATAATACTATGTAGATTGATCCTTGTGTCTTTGCTTAGTATTTCATGAAGGGCGTTCCATTTATTTTAAGCCTGGTACCATGAATCTCCTATTTTTCATGAGCCTTCTCAAATGCATGAAATCGGCCTAACATAACACCCTTTACATAGAGTTTAAATAAGTTGCTAATCTTCCACTTGGTCCACTAATCACCGTCTGTGCACCTACCAATATATTAAAGTGTTAATAAGTTTAGTCTCAATCACACAGAGTCTAGATAGATAATGTTTTGAAATGATGTGAAATTATTACACTGATGAATGAATAAGAAGATTTCCTACGATGTCTACTAGGCGTGGGCTCATTTGAATATTGAGGTAGATGCCTTGTCGATTGATCCTTTCTTTTGTTTCTTTACTTCTCTATATTTAATTGAGAAAACATTTTTGTACATTTGTTGCCATGCATGTGTGTACACGTAGAAGAGTGCCTTCTCTGCATGCATGTACTTCAATGAATCTTGTCGAATGGTTAGAATCAGGTGAACTGGAGCTAAATGGTAAGGTAACAGCTCAACACCATGTCCAAGGTAATGGATGTATCTGTACAGAGTCCAGAGGTAGAAGCCTGATACCTGCCCATGGAAAAAAAGAAATTAGAAAATTTTCGAGGACTGAGACAATCAAGCTTAATACTATTGGATATTTCCAACCGATCAAATACTATTATTTGAAATAACAATATGTTGGTGGTAGTGCAATAACAAAATAATACAGCAAAGAATGACTATCTATCTGGTAGTGTTGGATCAAATGTCTCATGTCCAATTACGTAGGGTTTTGTCCCACATACTGTAAGATATAAGAACTGTTGGATCAAATAGTATTATTCTAGTATATCCGTCTAGACAGTATATTTGTATGTATATGCATTTCAGGTTGGTATGGTATTGATAATTAATGTGTTTGACATGTTTGTCTGGATGGAAAATTTATTGTTGTTTGATCACCTAATTGTCTTCCAATAGGAGAGACTGTGCATGAAGACGACTTCGGTTAAAAATATGATTTATAAGCGTGCTTTCATAGCTATGCTCTCGATATCGACATCCCGATATGAGATTTTTCCTTGGCTATTACTATTATAACATCGACTAGACGATGCACCTATCTTGATTAGACATGTTCTGGTCACGGTTATTTTCATAGTTTTACAGAAGTCGTTCCACGGTAACTCTGTGGTTAGTGCACAACATTTCATGCATAGTCATTAAATTTTAATCGACAACCATGGGGTTTATAAAGGAGAATTAGATGAAGAATATAACATGTATATAAATGGGCATATGCGCATTCCTGATATCCTGAGTTATATATATATATACATGGGCCAAAGAGCCAATTTCTGACTTGAAGCCATGTTCCCGGGACGGTTTACGGGGAACCGATTTATATACATGAAAATATTCTTCTCTAATTCAAATAACCTGTAAAATAAGAATAAGGTGCTTATATGCTTTGTGATAGATTTGGCATGCACGGTATGGACCTGGATGAAGTATGGGTGATGTATATTGATATTGTTGTGTATAGAATTTTGGGAGTTAATATTTAGAGATTTACAATTTGAGATATATAGTATATATAAGGGTTTCATTGTTTGGATTATTTCCTCGACGTACTCATCTCTCATATTGTGGTTTTCTAAATCTTACCTCCTTTTTAGTATAGGGTATAAGATGTATGCTTTAGGGTAGACCTTATTTGATATACATGTTTAGAATTATCATCTTTAATTGACCTTTCATCTTATTTTGATTTATAAGAGTAGCATTTTCTTAATCACTGTAAATTTAGAATTTATCTTTTCTTTATATCTACCACTTATACTTACACGTGCATAACTTTCCTCATTTTACATGCTTGTTGGGAGTTTTCTGACTCCCCTGGGGTTTGCATACCCCAGATTTGGGAATTGTTCTTTCTTCGCAGGACCAAGAGAACTTTAAGGATTAAGACCAGTGACAGTGATCACCTTCTCTCTCTCAGCTTCAGTTATTGAGTCTTTCTTAAAATCACTTGTGGTACTCGAAACTAAGATGTATTTTTCCTCTTTCCTACTTTGAATAGTTATGGACATGTAAGAGAACTAGTCTTTTTAGAATTTTCTTTATCTATCTAGTTCCCTTGTTATTTTGGTTACATGCTCTATGTAGTAGTTCTTTTAGCAATATAACTGTATACAAGATGATCCAGAGGCGTGAATGTAACTGCATGGTTACATTGCTGACCGAGTCACGCTCCAAATTATCACGTTTTGGACCCGGGGCGTGACAAGTTGTGATATGTATCATTTTGTTCTGAGTTGTTTATTCTATTCTTGCTAAATGTGATCGGGGACATGTGACTTTGCACTTTATATTTACGCTTAGCGTATTAGATTGAGTGGAAATGGTCTAGTATTTATTTCTCCTCAGTCTAATTTGTCGCGGGCTTGTTCACGTTTTGATTCCCCAGTATTGTGGGAAGCGGGGCGTGACAAGTTTTTATGGTGGCCCATGTAGGTCACGGTCCCGAGTTCCCACTAGTAAGAATATACTGGATAATTTAGAAGCATATCATATTTCATCCATAAGACTATAGTTAGCCCTTATCCTATTATCTAGACAAATTATGTCTTAGTCCCTACCTTATCACTTTTTGACTCCGGAGCTTCCCACTGTTTCTTGTCTCGTCACTTCCCGACTACACTCTCTTCATATAACTTCTCTTTCCTCGAATCGGTCATTATTTTATGTGTTATTATTTTTACACTATATTTTTTGATTTGACTTGTGTATCATTTGACTGTATTGATTTCTGCATTATTTATTATTGTGACGCCCCTGGGTTCACACAAGGTGTTCGGGGGGAAAATAGTTGTCTTCTTCATTAATGATTCCATTGTACACTCTTGTAACAGTTTATCGATTACAAAGATCCGGTCTTTTTATAAGATCCGGTTACAACGAAAATCAAATTGAAAAGAAATGAAAATTACAACTTTTATCCTTGTTTGTCGAACGAATCGCGAGCTCCTGTTTTGCGGTCGCTCGCTTTGTGGGTTCTTTGCCTGCGCCGGGGTTTATCCGTGGACCACCGCGAGATCTAGATCCGGTCAGATCTAGGCAGTACTACGAGTATTATTCCACGAAGGGAATAATAGCCGGGGAGGATTGATTCACCAAGGAAACAATCGTCCAAGTCTCGGGATCTAAGACCAAGCTTAGATCCGGAGTACGTCTGCGTAGATCTGAGATCCGGTCCTCTCGAAAACCTGCCTTATTTGATGTTGACGGTCACCGAGCACCAGATCTGAATGTCCAAGTCCTCGAAGCCCAAAGTTGAGATCTTTTTTTTTTAGTTCTGAGTCTCCAATCCAGCAGGACTTCGCCTCTCTCCAAATTTTCCAACCCCTCAAAATGAACAACCCCCTCTCCTATTTATAGCCAAGCGTCACTGTGCCCGTGTGCACGTGTGGCCGACACTCAAGGTGGCCGGCCACCTCAAGGTGGCTCGGCTCTGAGGTGGCTCGGTTCCGGCCGAGCCCCTCCGGGTGTTGTTCGTTCCTTCATTTTCCGTTGTCCGGTTCTGTGCTTCGTTGTTGATCTGGACTTGATTCGGTTGTGTTTCTGTTGTGTGGTTGATTGACCTGGAAACGACTCGTTGACTTGATTCCAGATTTGGCAGTAAGTCGGGTTCCGGAATTGATCTTGATTCGATCGTGATCCATCCGAGTTCGCTCTTGTTTGGATGACTCGGTGGTTCCCCGAAACTGTTGGTTGGATTCCGCATGCGAGTGGATGTATTCCGATACTTGAGTGCGATTTGTTGACTTCGTCGCCTCGTTAACCTGCTCCATCGCGTATAGCTTGGCTTCGGCGTTTGCGGGCTAAAGGTCTTGCTTGGATACGTCGCCCGATGGTCCTTTTGTTGAATCGGCGTCGTCGAGCTACTCAAGGGACCTATAGGCAATTTTATACGCCTACAGATACCCCCTCCAAAGTATTTCAGTCTCGTTCTTTTATAGAAGAGTCTGGAATACTTTGGATGTGATTGTCCCAACCTTCAGTCGGTGTAACAGGACTTTGGAATGGCTTCTGTTCTGGATTCCTTCAATTCCTTCATGCTATTCGGTGCTTTGTCGAACATCTGTAAGGAATTCGGTGCTGCATTTATTGTCTGACTGTTGTCGGAATTTTGAACTTGAAGTCGATTCTTGATTTCCTGACTTTTTAGCTCGAGTTTGCTGCTTCAACACAGAACTAATCATCAGTCATAGGCGTTGAATCTTCATTTATAACGCGTTGTCCGGCGTTTGAGCTTCCTGGTGACGCGTTGTCCGGCGTCCAGGCTTCATTACAACGCGTTGTCCGGCGTTTGACATAGTTTATACTCGTACGTCTGCTGGAGTATACACAGTTTAAGCTCTTAAGG